AAACCATCTAATATTAGATCAAATTTCATTGGAGTTAAATATATCCAGTATTTGTAGGAAATGTTCTGAAATCAAATGAATGATCTTGTTGTTCAATTGCCCAGTTGTGTTCAACTCTTTGGGACTCCATGGACTGCAGCATGCCAGGTCCCTGTCCCTCACCATCTCCCAAAGTTTGCCCAAGTTCACGACCATTGCATCTGAGATGCCATCAAGCATCTCATCCTCTGACACCATCTTCTCCTTTTGCCCTCAATCTTTCCCATCATCAAGCACTTTTCCAGTTAGTTGGCTGTTCACATCAGATCAGCAAAATACTGGAGCTTCAGCTTCAGCATCAGTCCTTCTAATGAGTATTCAGGATTGATTTCCCTTAAGATTGACTATTTTGATCTTGTGTCTTAGTCACTTAGTGGTGTCCGACTCTTTGCAACCCCATGGACTGTAGCCTGCCAGGCTTCTCCGTCTATGGTATTTTCAATACTGGAGTTTTGTTGCCATTTCCTTCTCCAGTGGATCTTCCTGACCCAGGGATCGAACCTGGGTCTCCCACATTGCAGGCGTAGGCTCTTTTACCATCTGAGCCACCAGGGAGACCCTGGTGGGGTTTGATCTTAGTATGTAGCAATTTCCAAGCGATTGGAGATAGCTAGGATATGTAATATGCTTAGTGGTTTGACACTAACCAATGTGTGGTTGTCATGGCTCACGTTGAATATAACAGAATGGAGAGAAGCAGATGCAAGCTAAATTTATAGAACAATGTGATGTTTCATTTGCTGAGGAAAACACTTATTCAAAACAAATAGCTCCTTAGTTTATGTTAACAGATTAAAATCTCAAAGGAAAGTCATAACGGGTCTTAAAGTAAAATACCAATAATGTGACAATTTTTTTCTTTTTTAGATTGTGCTTTTGTTTAAAGCAAGTAGGATGCTGAATATATTAATAGAAAAATAACTTGAATATTGACACTGTATCCAAGGGTTGGTAGATTCCCAACCACAGGGAAGTTTCTGGCTTTGGCCTGTTTTTGTAAAACAGGTGAACTAAGGGTTGTTTTTGCATTTTAAAAGCTTTTTTTTTTTTCTTTCAGTATTTTAAAGATGTTCCCCTGCCTTCTCATTTGCTTTGTTTTCCCAGAGAAATTTGTCATTCTTCTCTTTATTTCTCTGTATGTAACTTGTCTGTCTTTGGTGTTCAGTCACTAAGTCATGTCCTATTCTTTGAGACCTCATGGACTGTAGCATGCTGGGCTCCTCTGTCCTCCACTATTTCCTGGAGTTGCTCAAATTCATGTCTGTTGAGTCTGTGATGCTGTCTAACCATCTTATCCTTTGCCACCCGCTTCTCCTTTTGCCTTCAATCTTTCCCAGAAACAGGGTCTTTTCTAGTGAGTTGGCTCTTCTCATCAGGTAGCCAGAGTATTGGAGCTTCAGCATCAGTCCTTCCAATGAATATTCAGGATTGATTTCCTTTAAGATTGATTGGTGATCTCCTTGCAGTCCAGGGGACTCAGGAATCTTCTCCTGTACCACAGTTTGAAAGCATCAGTTCCGTGCTCAGCCTTCTTTATGGTTCAACTCTCAGATCTGTGTATGACCGTTGTAAAAGCCATAAATTTGACTGTGTGGACTTCTATCAGCAAAGTGATGTCTCAGCTTTTTAATACACTGTCTAGGTTTGTCACAGCTTCCCTTCCAAGGAGCAAGTGTCTTAATTTCATGGCTGCAGTGTTTTTTTAATCTGGTTGCTTTTAAGATTTTTCCTCTACCAGTGATTTTGAGTAATTTGATTATGATGTACCTTGGTCTAGTTTTGGTCCTTTTCCTTGTGCTTGGGATTAACTGAACTTCTTGGATTTATTGGCTTACTTTGGTCAAACTTGGAAAGTTTTCATCTATTATTTCTTCAATTAATTCTTCTATTCCAAACTTTTTCTTTAGGGACTCCGGTTACACATACTGCAATTTTGTTAAGCTGCTTGAATCCCTATAGTTTGCTGATGGTCTTTTCATTTTTCCTTTTTCCCCTTTGTGTTATATTTTTAATAATTCTTATTGCTTTGTCTTCAAAATTCACAACTCTTACTTTCTATAAAAGCTATTACGCTTTTTATCTCATCCAGGATATTTACATCTGAGACACTATAGTTTTCATCTCCAGAAATTCAGTTTGAGTGCTTTTTACACTTTTCATGCCTCTCCCTAAGGTTTTGAACATATAGACTACAGTTATAAAAATTGTTTTAATGTCCTTTTCTGCTGATTCTGTTAGGTTGTTGCAAGAGTAATTGAGGTTTGTCATTTGATATTGGACTTTGCCATTTGATATTGGAATAGTCTTAAATAGTCTTAAATAAATGTGATTATGTTATGCATAATTTTAATGCACATTTCTTACTTTGGTTTTTTGCTAATGATTTATTACTTGCTGTTTATATTTTAGACTAGGGAAATGATGTTACACAAAAATAAATTTGAGTGATTTTCTTATTCAAGTTCAGCATGGGTCATAAAGCAGCAGAGACAACTTGCAGCATCAGTAACACATTTGGCCCAGGAACTGCTAACGAACATACAGTGCAGTGGTAGTTCAAGAAGTTTTTCAGAAGACACAAGAGCCTTGAAGATGAGGGGTGCAGTGGCCAACTGTCGGAAGTTGACAACAACCAACTGAGAGGATCATCGATGCTGATGCTCTTAAAACTACATGAAAAGTTGCCCAAGAACTCAGTATCGACCATTCTTTGGTTATTTGGCATTGGAAGCAAATTGGAAAGGTGAAAAAGCTTGATGAGTGGGTGCCTAGTCAGCAAACAAAAAAAATGATTTTGAAGTGTCATCTTCTATTCTGTGCAACAACTAAGAACCATTTTTTTTTTTGGATTGTGATGCGTGACTAAAAGTGGGTTTTATATGACAACCTGCGATTACCAGCCCAGTGGTTGGACCAAGAAGAGGCTCCAAAGCACTTCCCAAAGCCAAACTTACACCAGAAAAGGTCATGGTCAGTGTTTGTCCATCTGCTGCCGGTTTGATTCACTACAGCTTTTTAAATACCCCTGAGACCATTCTGAGAAGAATGCTCAGCAAATTGATGAGAGAGGCACTGAAGTCTGCAAAGCCTCGAGCTGGCATTGGTGAGCACAAAGGGCCCAATTCTTCTCCATGACAACGTCTGACCACATGTCTCAAAACTAACGCTTCAGAAGTTGAATGAATTGGGCTACGAAGTTTTGCCTCATCTGTTGCATTCATCTAACCTCTTGCCAACTGATTCACTTCTTCAAGCATTTCGATAACTTTTTGCATGGAAAATGCTTCCACAACCAGCAGGATGTGGAAAATGCTTTCCAAGAGTTTATCAAATCCTGAAGCATGGGTTTTTGCGCCAAAGGAATAAACAAACTTATTTCTTGTTGACAAAAATGTGTTGATTATAATGGTTCCTATTTTGATTAATAAAGATGTGTTTGAACCTAGTTATAATGATTTAAAATTCACAGCCCCGAACCGCGATTATGTTTGCACCAACCTAATAATATCTGTGTCGGTTCTGGGTCATTTTCAGTTGATTAATTTTTCTGCTTACTATGAGTCATGTTTTCCTGCTACTTTGCATGTCTGATGATATTTGGATACTAGTCATTGTAAATTTTGCTTCATTAGATGTTTTCTATTTTTCTTTTATGATTCTTACTGAGCTTTGATCTGAGACATTTTAGTTATTTGAAAACAGTTTGATTCTTTCAAATCTTGCTTTGAAGATTTGTTGTGTGCTGTGTGCTTGGTCGCTTCAGTCGTGTCTGACTTTTTGTGACCCCATAGACTGTAGCCTCCCAGGCTCCTCTGTCCATGGAGTTTCTCCAGGCAAGAATACTAGAGTGGGTTGCAATGCCATCCTCCAGGATCTTCCCAAACCAGGGATCGAACCAAAGTCTCCCACATTATAGGTAGATTCTTTGCCGTCTGAGCCACCACGGAAGCCCAAGAATACTGGAGTGGGTAGCCTATCCCTTCTTCAGAGGATCTTCCCAATCCAGGAATCAAAATGGGGCCTCCTGCATGGCAGGCGAATTCTTTACCACCTGAACTGCCAGGGAAGCCCAAAGATTTGTTAGGTAGAATCAAAGAAATGTTTAGTCTGTGCATGATTGTTCTCTACCACTGAGCCAAGACTTTTCTGAATACTCTGTCCAGTGCCCCATGCACTATTAAGGTTTTCAGGATGGCCGTTAGAAACAAGCACTGCTCCCTGTCTTGTGTAAACACTGTAAACACTGATACTCATCCCTTTAGTTTTTTCGAGTGATAATTTCCTCACACACATGCACCAATTATTGCTGTAACGGCTACACAAAGGGTCCTTTTGCAGATGTTCAGTATGCTCTCTGTGCAGTGCGCTGTTCTCTGATGCTGTTTGTTTTCCTTGGACTCTGAGCTCTGTCTCTTGAACTCAGTTTACCTGGGTATCTCCTCTCAGCACCAAGGCTTGGAAACACTCTAATGACAGTAAACTGAGGGCAGTTGTAAAGCATTCTTGTTTTTTTTTTCCTTTCCCAATGATTATTTTTCTTTACTTCTTAATGTCCAGTGTTTTGAGAACTGTTGTTTTATATGTTTTTTTCAGTTTTTGGGTTGATTCAAATAAGACAGTATGGTTTCTGTTACTACATTATGGCCAGAAGTGAAAGATGTTCTTGCAGTTGGGGGTGAAATTTTAGAATTAGTGGTTAAATAGTTCCAGGTGATGTAGAGAGCTGGACCATAGGTATAAATGGAGTAGAAAGGTGAACGTCATTCAGTGAGTCATCCACATAAACTTTGAAGTCTCCTAAGTAGGTAGGTTAGAGACAGAATGTAAGACTTTAAAAAAAACGAATCAAAGTTGTGAAGTTTTAATACTGCACATTTCATGTGTTTTGTTAGAGAACATAAAATTATTTTAAAATTATCTTAATCTTTTAAAATTATGTTAAATTATTTTATCTGTTCTAGAACCTTCTGATAACTTAAGGGAGATTCTCCAAAATGTGGCCAAATTGCAAGGAGTATCAAATATGAGAAAGCTAGGCCATCTGAATAACTTCACTAAGGTAAGTAACTTCAGTCTTTACATTATCATCCTAAGTTATGTTTTCCTTATTGTACTTAAAAGATACATCTTAACCACCATTAACAAGAAATTCTTCAGTATTCCCTCAATATTAGTGTTTCCTTGGCCCTTTCTCATGGATTTTTGTCATATGTTTTTAAATTTAAAAGTATATTTGAATAATGAGAAGTACTTGATGTTTGTTGTCAAATATTTGGTAGGTTCAGAAGAGAATAAAGGGAAAAGAAATCACTGAGAAATCAGTAATTCAGTCTCCACTATTAGTCACATAAGGATGTAATTCTTTTGCCTTTTAATATTCATTTTTTGTGGTATCATATGATAAATGTCGGTACATGAGTATGCATTTCATAGATGTAATGATTTCCAGAGAAATATTATCACTTCCTCTCCTTTTCCTGATACTCTCTTCCCATTATCTGGATCTCAGAACTCAACATAAATGTTAGGGCACTTGTCCCAAATAAATATTAACCTGATCTCTATTAGCCACCAAGAATTCCCAAGTTTGATAGATGGATTGGTATGGTTGGGAGCCTGGTAATGCTGAACAGCCAACTCGTGGAAACACTAAAATACCTGTTATTCTAGGTGATGCCACAAATAGAAAATAGAATGCTTACTTTGGGAAAATTTATTTACATTTTTACTTCACTAAATATAAATTATTCTATGTTTTATTTTTATATTTTATTGAAGTTTAGTTGATTTACAGCATCATGTTAGTATCAGGTGTACAGCATTTGATTCAGATTATATATACTCATTTTCAGATTCTTTTCCCTTATAGGCTGTTACAAATATTGAGTGTAGTGCCTTATACATTTTAAATGTAGGAAAAAGCGTTTTAGCTGCTTACTAAAAGTGTGATCCATAGACCTGCAACATTGGTGTCACCTTGGAGTTTATTTGATATGGACAGTGTTCAACCCCACCCCAGACCTACTGAATGAGAATCTACATTTTAATGAACATCTCAGATGAATTTGGGTGTACATTAAAATTTGAGTCACACTGTTTTAATCTTTCCAAAATGTTTAATTCTTTGCTACTTGGTAGTTAGACTGTGGCTTGAATTTGATTTTATTTCATAGAAATAGAAGGGGTAAGAATATAGTCACTATGTAACAAAATTTTTTTTCCAATAAGGTGTTATATAATAAATAAAAAGTAGATTTGTTTTTTTCTTTTCATAGTTAGTGAAATATACATATACATTTATTTTTTTCTTAATGAAACATTCTGGGATTTATTTTTATATAACATGAGAAAATTACCTTGTATGAGTGAGGACAGTGATTTTTTAAAAAAACTTTCAAAAACATTGAATAAGTCCTTTGAAGGGGTTTTCAAAAATGTCCTTGTTGTATGTTTCATTTTTATGAATGTATCGACAATCTTCAAATATGTTTCTTTAGTGTACTACTCAGGTAATGTCAGGTTTTTAAGACCTAGTGTTATTTCAAGGTTACAAATTGCATCTCCTGGTTTTGCTCTATTAAATTTCCCAGTTTTATGTCATCACTCTTCACCCAGGTCTAATAGTAACATGTCTTAGCACTTGCCTTCATTTAACTGTTAAAAACAGTTAATAGAGGTTTATGTCTTGTTTGATCTCCTGGTTCATGTCATAATCAGGTTGACATCTAGTTATGTACTTCCATATCGTTTACAACTGGGATTCTAAAAGAAGAATGAATGTAAGAATGGCAGTGATTTCTGTTATTTCACTTTTGCACCGGAATGGGTCCTTTTTTTGTCGTTCAGTCCTTCAGTCGTGTCCGACTCTTTGCAACCCCATGGACTGCAGCATGCCAGGCATCCCTGTCCTTCACCATCTCCTGGAGCTTGCTCAAACTCATGTCCATTGAGTTGGTGTTGCCTTCCAACCATCTTGTCCTATGTTGTCCCCTTCTTCTCCTGCTTTCAATCTATCCCAGCATCAGAGTCTTTTCTAATGAATTGGCTTTATGCATCATGTGGCCCAAATATTGGAGTTTCAGCTTCAACCTCAGTCCTTCCCATGAATATTCAGGACTGATTTCCTTTAGGATTGACTGATTTGATCTTCTTGCTGTCCAAGGGACTCTCAAGAGTCTTCTCCAACACCACAGTTTAAAAGCATCAATTCTTCGGCACTCGGCTTTCTTTATGGTTCAACATGACTACTGGGAAAACCATAGCCTTTATTAGATGGACCTTGTCGGTAGAGTAATGTCTTTGCTTTTTAATATGCTGTCATGGTTTGTCATAGCTTCTCTTCCAAGGGGCAAGCGTCTTTTAATTTCATGGCTGCAGTCACCATCTGCAGTGATTTTGGAGCCCAAGAAAATAAAGTCTGTCACTATTTCCATTGTTTCTGCATCTGTTTGCCATGAAGTGATGGGACCAGATGCCATGATCTCAGTTTTTTGAATGTTGAACTTAAGCCAGCTTTTCCCCCTCTCCTCTTGTACTTTCATAAAGAGGCTCTTTAGTTCCTCTTTGTTTTCTTCCATAAGGGTGGTGTCATCTGCATATCTGAGGTTAGTGATATTTCTCCTGGCAGTCTTGATTCCAGCTTGTGTTTCATCCAACCCAGCATTTTGCATGATGTACTGTGTATATAAATAAGCAGGGTGACAATATACAGCCTTGATCATACTCCTTTCCCAATTTGGAACCAGTCCATTGTTCCATGTCCAGTTCTAACTGTTGCTTCTTGACCTGCAGGCAGGTTTCTTAGGAGGCAGATAAGGTGGTCTGGTATTCCCATCTCTCTCAATTTTTCAGTTTTTTGTGATCCACATCATCAAAGTCTTTAGTCAGTGAAGCATAAGTAGATGTTTTTCTGGAATTCTCTTGCTTTTTCTGTGATCTAGTAGGTGTTGGCAATTTGATCTCTGGTTCCTCTGTGCTTTCTAAATCCAGCTTGAACATCTGGAAGTTCCTGGTTCATGTACTGTTGAAGCCTAGCTTGGAGAATGGGTCCTAAAACGGTGTTAAACTCTAGAGAAGCACAATACAGTAGACACATGTGAGCCACTTTTGTAATTTTAAATTTTCTAGCAGGTCACACTAAAAAAGTAAAAGGAAGTGTGAAATTATTTTTAATAATTTTATTTAATACACTATATCCAACTTATTTATGTAATTAGTATGAAATATCAATGAGATATTTAATATTTTTTTATACTAAATCTTGGAAGATAAGTGTGTGTGTTTTCAGCTCAGTTCAGTTGCTCAGTCTTGTCCAACTGTTTTCGACCCCGTGGACTGCAGCACCCCAGGCTTCTCTGTCCATTACCAACTCTCAGAGCTTGCTCAGACTCATGTCCATCAAGTCAGTGATGCCATCCAGACATTCTCATCCTCTGTCATCCCCTTCTCCTCCTGCCTTCAGTCTTTGCCAGCATCAGGGTCTTTTCCAGTGAGTCAGTTCTTCATATCATGTGGCCAAGTTACTGGAGCTTCAGATTCAGCATCAGTCCTTCCAGTGAATATTAAGGACTGATTTCCTTTAGGATTGACTGGTTTGATCTCCTTGCAGTCCAGGGGACTCTCAAGAGTCTTCTCCAACACCACAGTTCAGAAGCATCAATTTTTTGGTGCTCAGCTTTCTTTATGGTCCAACTCTCACATCCATACATGACCACTGGAAAAACCATAGCTTTGACTAGACGGACCTTTGTTGGCAAAGTAATGTCTCTGCTTTTTAATATGCTGTCTAGGTTGATCATAGCCTTTCCTCCAAGGAGCAAGTGTCTTTCAATTTCATGGCTGCGGTCACCATCTGCAGTGATTTTGGAGCCCAAGAAAATAAAGTGTCACTGTTTCCATTGTTTCTGCATCTGTTTGCCATGAAGTGATGGGACCAGATGCCATGTTCTTAATTTTTTGAATGTTGAATTTTAAGCCAGCTTTTTCCACTCTTCTCTTTCACTTTCATCAAGAGACTCTTTAGTTCCTCTTTGCTTTCTGCCATAAGGGTGATATCATCTGCATATCTGATGTTACTGATATATCTCCTGGCAGTCTTGATTCCAGGTTGTGCTTCATCCAATCCGGCGTTTCACGTGATGTACTCTGCATGTAAGTTAAATAAGCAGGGTGACAATATACAGCCTTGACGTACTCCTTTCCCTGTTTGGAATCAGTCAGTTGTTCCATGTGTGGTCCTGCTGCTTCTTGACCTGCATACAAATTTCTCAGGAAGCAGGTAATGTGGTCTGGTATTCCCATCTCTTGAAGAATTTTTCACAGTTTGTTGTGATCTACACAGTCAAATGCTTTGGCTTAGTCAATAAAGCAAAAGTAGATGAACTCTCTTTCTCTTTTGATGAGCCAGTGGATGTTGGCAGTTTGATCTCTGGTTCTTCTGCCTTTTCTAAATCCAGCTTGAACATCTGGAATTTCTCAGTTCATGTACTGTTGAAGCCTCGCTTAGAGAATTTTGAACATTTGCTAGCATGTGAGATGAGTGTAGTTGTGCGGAACTTGTGCGGAACATTCTTTGGCATTGTCTTTCTTTGGGATTGAAATGAAAACTAACCTTTTCCAGTCCTGTGGCCACTGCTGAGTTTTCCAAATTTGCTGGCATATTGACTGTAGTGCTTTGACAGAATCATCTTTTAGGATATGAAATAGCTCAGCTGGAATTCCATCACCTCCACTAGCTTGCTCGTAGTGATGCTTCCTGAGACCCACTTGACTTTGCATTCCAGGATGTCTGGCTCTAGGTGAGCGATCACACCATATGGTTATCTGGGTCACATTGTTCTTTGCATTAAATGACACCTCTTCTTAATATCTTCTGCTTCTGTTAGGTCCATACCATTTCTGTCCTTTATTGTGCTCCTCTTTGCATGAAATGTTCCCTAATTTCTTGAAGAGATCGCTAGTCTTTGCCATTCTGTTGTTTTCCTCTATTTCTTTGCATTGATCACTGAGAAAGGCTTTCTTATCTCTCCTGCTATTCTTTGGAACTCTGCATTCAGATGG